CAGATTGGTTTCACAGGTCGGCGCAACATCGAGGGCCGAAGGGCCTGCACTGGGCTGTAATGTTCTATGTTCTATGTTCTAAGTCTGAGCAATGAAGTGAGCGTGCTAAATGTCTTCCTAATCACTCTGTCTACCAGTGACTAGCCACAGACTAACTATGCGAAAGCACTGAGCTCAGCTGGGACTCCCAGCATCAGATACACCACAAATATTTCCAGCCAAGGTAAATGAAGGTGTGGACTGGGAACTACTGGGTTCTGTGGACCTGAACCCAGCAAGGTATCTCCCAGGATGTTGCCAACACTGGAGTACTGGGTGTAGTTCTGATCATCATATTTAAGGAAGAATACACCTGTGTTTAAGGTGGTGCAGCCAAGCTATAGAACAAACTGGTCCTGGCACGAGGGGATTGTCGTATTGAGAAGCTGAGCCGGTCAGGTCTGTTATTTGTCTTTAGTCCAGAGAACAGACAGTGAAACGTATGAGATTCTGAAAGAAGTTTCACAAGACAGACACAGAGTGTTTCTGCAGATCGGGACACAGGCTCAGAAGAAGGGACTGATCATTCAGGACTGAGATGAGGAGACAGTTCTTCACTCAGAGGCTTGTGAATCTTTGGAATTTTCTCCCCCACAGAGCTATGGGTGATCTGTCGGTGACTATATTTAATGCTGCTGCAAACAGATTTTGGTCTCTTGGGGTGATCGAGGGAAATGGGGAGTGGTTGGGAAATTGGAGACAAAACTCAAGGTGGAGGGCTATGGGCCCTGTGGGGCAGAAGGGGGCAAAGAGCTGGGGTGGGATCCGAATCAACAATCCATCCTCAATACCCTCTGACAAACCACTCCTTTGTATCAAAGTGCTACAGACAATAAATAAACTGTAGTGATACGAGATAGCAGCTCACCACCACCTTCCCAAGAGCGGGTAGATTCTCATTCTCACTTTCAAATCCCTTCACAGCCTCCAGCCTCTCTCTCTCTGTAATCTTTCCCCAGCTCCATATTCCTCTGTACTCCTGTAATTCTGACCTCTGAGCCATCCCCAATTTTCATCTTTTTACTAATGGAGGCTATGGCCCGAAGCTTCAATATTCAACCTCACCTTGCTCCTTTAAGACATTTCTTAAAGACCTCTTTGACCAAGCTTTTGGTCACCTGGCCCTGTCGGTGCCTTAGCGTCATATTTGGTTTGAGAGTATTCCTGCAAGGCACCTCGAGGCATTTCATGACATCAAAAGGTGCCACATAAATGCAAGTAGCCGTTATTGTTGTAACTAGATAAGGCCTTGTCAGTAACTCGGAGATCCTGCCAATCAGCTAAAGCAGAAAGGGTGCTCCAAGGCAGAGGGTCGATACAAGCCAACAGTCCCTGCCTCCTCAACCATTCCTCCTCCACCAAAACCACACCACCCCCACCCCTGCCGTCACCGTTACCCAAATCTGCGTCTTGCTTGGTCGGGCTGCTGGGAACAATGATGGGGGTTGGTCCAAAGGACTCCTGGGATGGATCAATCACATCGTTGGAACTTCTGTAAAAGAATCAGTGCATTGTTAGGGATCACAGACAGATGTTAACTATTCAACAATCAAGCGCTCCTGGGCAGGTAACCCTGAGGGGTACTGCACAGCGTGGTTTGGCTCACCACACTATGGGAAGGATGTGACTACACTGGAGAGGGTGCAGAGGAGAGGCATCGGGACGTTATCTGGGCTGGAGGGACTCAGCAATGGAGAGGGAGACCAGATAGGCTGGGAATGTTTTCCTTAGAGTGGAGACGGCTAAGGGCTGTGACAATACTGTGGCCTTAAAAAGGTGTATTTTCTCCTGTTTTTTTTTGAAGAGAGAGGTTTTAAGGCAGAGGCGACAAGCAATCTATCCGACCCACTTGAGTAAACAGTTTGAGAGGCCTTGGCTTTTTTTGGAACAATAGAAGCAGCATGGCTGGGCGTGATCAAGCTCTCAGAACCAGTATTTTCAGTTTGGTTTCTTTAAAAGCAGCAGTTATTGCGGGGGGCTCAGCAGGATTGGAAGCTGCTGTAACTCTCTCCCAGCTGCTACACACTCTCAGATTTTTCTCTTGATGTATTTTCTACTGGGCTGCTGAAAGACATTGTTATAACAGACTTGCCTTGACCCCATCAAGTCTCGGAGTGGGACTCCCACCAGGGGCTTCAGGCTCAAAGGCAGGGACACTACTCACTGTACCGCAGGCCCTCCAAATAACACACCCGGAAAATGGGTAGGTTCAGGAAATGAAAGCCATAGTTTCGGGCTTGGACAGTTGAAATCATGACTGCCAATGGTGCACCAACGGAAATACGCAGGTGGCCAGGTCTGGAGTTAGAATAGAATCGAATCAAGTTCCTACAGTGTGGGAGCAGGCCATTCAGCCCCTCGAGTCCACACCAACCCTCCAAAGCGCATTTCACCCAGACCCAACACCCCACCCTTATCCCTGTAACCGTGCACTTCCCACGGCCAATCCACCTAACCTGCACATCTCTGGACTGTGGGAGGAAACCGGAGCGAACCCACGCAGACATTGAGAGAACATGCAAACTCCCCACAGACAGTCACCCGAGGCTGGAATCGAACCCAGGTCCTCGGTGATGTGAGGCAGCAGTGTTAACCCCTCAGCCATCGTGCCAGAGAGGTTTCCTGAGCAGGAGGACGTTACACAGATTGGGATAGGCAAGGCCATTCAGGAATCTGGTCACGAGGATGGGAATTTTTGATTGCAAGGCATTGCCAGATCCAGGTTTTAAACAAATATTGAGCAACAGTGTATGTGTGAACTCCATTACAACACGCACTTACTCTGAGAGACTCTCCTGTACCAGCGTCTGTTGCCCCGAAAGATGGAGGACCTGCAGGTGATCTACACGAGCAGCCAAAACACTTTCATTTCTCAGAAGAGTTCCTGCACTGGGACCTGAGAGAGAGAGAGAAAAAAAGACAGAAAGAGAGAAAAAGAGAGAGAGAACAGCAAGAGGATGTTAAAGAGACAAGCAACTGATTCCTGGGCACACAGAACCCAAGGGACTTAATTCATTGATGGTTCAACTCATATGTCCCTGTGGTAGAAAAGAAACACAGAGGGCAGTGTCCAGGACAGTAACAGCTCAACATATTTGCACTGAGGTTCCTCACCCACAAACAGGCCACTTTACTGAATCGATCCAGGTCTGCGCTAATGCAATACTTGGGACAGTTCACACTGCATGGGATACCTTCCTTCTCCTCGGTCCCTCATGTTTATCCTGCTTCCCCTCAATGTCATTCTGAGGCTCCTCAACCACTCCTCATGGGAGCAAGCCCTACACTCTCACCACTCCCTTTATATAGAGGTGTCTCCTGGACACACTATTGGATTCATATTTATAAAGAACACAGAAAAAAGGGAGTAGGCCATTCAAGACCCTCAATCCTGCACCACCATTCTATATGGATCATGAGTGAACTGCCCCAGGCCTCAGTTCTTCTCTTGTGCCAGCTCCTCATAGCCCTTATCTGCTCGGTCTTTCAAAATACCTGTCTCCTCTTTAAATACTTTGTGAGCTACCCTCCACAACTCTCTGGAGGAAAAAAAGAGAATTCCATAGTTTTGCCACCCTCTCGAAGAAGAAATTCATTTGCATTTCACAAGCTTTGTAACAGTCTCTCCCACAGGTGCGAATGTTTTCTGATACCTGCAGTGGCAAATCCTTTCAGGTTCTTATTGATCTTCACCAAGTCACCGACTGAGCTTTCCTGAAACAGGCAGCTCCAGCCTGTAGAATCAGAGAATCCCTAGTGTGGAAGCAGGCCGTTCTGTCCTTTCAGTCCACACTGACCCTAGTCCTGTAATCCTGCATTTCCCATGGCCAATGCACCCTAACCTGCACATCTTTGGACTTTGTGAGGAAACCCACACAGACACAGGGAGAACGTGCAAACTCCACACAGACTGTCGCCCAACAGTTGAACTTGGGTCCTCAGCGTAGCGAGGCAGCAGTGCTAACCACTGAGCCGCATGGTCTGTCTGTCTTTTCTGACAGGTGTATCAAGTCCGCTCTGACACAAATCTCTGGGAGAATTATCCCACGAGCTCAATTAGACAAGGAGATACGATATATCCCAAGAAGATCCTCTATTTACATAGCACCTTTCACAATATCGGCAGGTCCCCAAACAGCGAATGAATTGCTTTTAAAGTATATGCACTGAGAAATGCAGTGGTCAACTTGTGCACAGCAAGATCCCACAAACAACAATTTGATACAAATCACATAATCTGCTTTTGTGATGTCAACTGATGGATAAATATTTTCCAGGCCACCTCGTCTTCAAACAGCACCATTTACTGCCATTCAAGGGGACAAACATGGGGTTAGGCCGGCCATCTTATTCTGACACTGCAGTCGTGCGCTGGGGCATGTCTGTCTGGATTTTGTCGCGGGACTCGAACCACACACCCAACCCCCCAGCCCCAGCCCCACCGACTGTCTAAAGGCAGAGAGTGTGAGCCACAGCTGACCCAGTGAACGGAGCACATGACAAACCTACCCGACAGACTGGGCTCCACAGCATCCTTCTCTGCCAGGACGGTCTTGGAACGTTCCGGGCCTGGTTGGGGTGGAGGCCCCTCAATCCGCAGTCCAGAAGGCATCAGGAAACGGGCCTCTTGGTCAGCTCCCAGCTCCACCTGCCACGTGGATACACTCGAGGTAATCTCCGACCTGCAACATTTCACCTGGGCTTAATGTTGAATTGATACAGTCAGGATTAATCGCTGTCCATATCCCTGCCTTTGGCCCACATCCCTTAATATGTCTGCTCAACAAAAAAATTATTTATCTCAGATTTAGATATAACAAAATGATCCAGCATCCACTGCCGTTTGTGGGAGAGAGTTCCAAACTTCTCCCAACCCTTTGGGGGTAGAAATCTCTCCTGAACAGTTTGGCCTTAATTCTCTGACTGTGCCCCTAGTTCTAGAAACCCCAACCAGAGGAAATAGTTTATCTGCCTTGTCTTTTCCTGTTAACATCCTGAAGACTTCAAACAGATCACCCCCTTAACCTTCTAAATTTGAGAGAAAACAGGTCCAATTTGTACCGTCTCTCCTCATAATGTAACCCCTGCAATCCAGCCATCATTCTTGCTAACCTACATGGTCCTCCATCTAAGGCCAGTCTATCCTTCTTAAGGTGCGGTACCTAGATCTGCACACAGTGCTCCAAGTGGGGTCTAACCAGGGTTTTGTAAAACTGCATCCTCATACTCCAGATACAAAGGCCAGCACTCCATTACCTTCGTTGATTATTTGAATTTATATAGTACCTTCCCCATCCTCAGGATATCAGAAGTGCCTCAGTCAGTGGACGGCTTTCTTTGAAGTGTCACAATTGTTGTAATGTAGCAAATACAGAATCCAATTAGTGCACAGCTATCTCCCACAATGATCAATGAGGGAGATCATGACCAGACTGTTTAATTAAAAAGCTGCTGGTTGATGAGGTATAAACATTGGCCCAGGACACCAGCGAATCCTCCCCCACCCTTTCAGAATGGTAGCCGTGGGATCCATTACACCCATCTGAGGCAGGGCCTCGGTTTAATGCCATCTAAAGGACAGCAGATCCGACGGCGCGGCACTCCCTCGGTGCCAACCCTCCGACGGATCGGCACTCCGCTGGGAGTGTCAGCCAGCCCTCTGTCCTCACGGTTCTGGAGTGGGACCGCGAACTTCGAGGGGAGAGTGTATTACCTCACTGCCGAGCAGCGGCAGTGTGTTTACGGAAAGGGCCACTGGGAGGATGTCCCAGGAGACACAGCAATGAAGGATACTCCATCACTAAAAGGAGGAAACTGGAAGTATTTGAAGGAAGGTGGCATGGACGAAACGAGATGACCTCATCTGCTACCCCAACTGAGATTCACCCCGTAACCGTGGCACGAAATATCAGCACCCCCCGCCCCACACTGGGCTGCTGAGTCTTTCAGTGAACCTACATTTTGGATCGTGGTCACCATCCACAAACACCTCACGGGACTGAACTGTGTCTCTGTGACAAAAGTCACAGTGTTGTTGGTCTTGTTTCCATGGTTTCAGAGGAAGATTATGGATCAACAATCACTTCACCTACGAGTCACAGTTGAACCACAGAATGTTTCGGAGGAGGAGGACAAACAGCAAACACACAAATTGGGGCAGGCCATTCAGCCCCTCAAACCTGCTCTCCCATTCAACAAATGATGGCTGATCTGATATCTGCACATTCCCACGACCTCGATACCCTCGCTGGAAAGGCTCAGCAAGTCTAGCAGCATCTGTGGAGAAAAATCAGTTAACATTTCTGATCCTGTGACCCTTCCTCAGAAGGGTCCTCAGTTCTGAGGAAGGATCACTGGACCCAAAACGTTAACTCTAATTTCTCTGAACAGATGCTGCCAGACCTGCTGAGCTTTTCCAGCAATTTCTGTTTTTTGTTTCTGATTTACAGCATCCGCAGTTCATTCGGTTTTTAACCTTTCACGCTCCTTGTTAATTAAGCATCTATCCACCTCGGTCTTCAAAATATTCAAAGACTCTGCTTCCAACATCTCTTCAGGAACAGAATTCCTAGACTCATGACCCTCTATGAGAAAAATAGCTCTCCTCATCTCTGTCTGAAATGGGCAACGCCTTATTTTTAAACCATGACCCTTATTCTAGACCGTCCCATACACAGAAACGGCCTCTCTACATCCAGCATGTCAGGATTTTCTGTGTTTCTATTGTGCCTGTTCTGAATCCTCAATAGCCCCTCACTCAGGTCCCTCTCCAATATTTCACAGGATCCTTGCAAAAGCCAGGATCGATTTTGCATCCTCCGTGATTTCCGATGGGAATCTATCTCTGGGCAGCTCGCTGGCTTTGCCCTCACTCTAGCCCAGGATCAGATAGGTGTGGTACCCAGAACCATCGGGAAGGTGCCCTGGTTTTGGGAGAGAGTGGTTGTGCCCATTCCTCAGTATCAGGACAGGACTGAGGGTTAAATAGGTCGCATCAACTTGACTCACATTCCCTGGAGTTTGGGAGATTTCAGGGCATGTACTGAAGTGTTTAAATGTTAAAAAGGACAGGACAGGATGGACAATGGCACAAGTTTCTCTAGGAGGAGGAGGAGGAGAGATTAGAGCTAGGGGTCAGAGCTAAAACTAGAGCCAGTTTGATCACAGATGAAATGGAGATTTCTTCTTTCACACAAAGGGCAGCAGATAGGTGTAATGGTCTTCTGAAAAGTCAGCATTTGTCTATCAAACACATGGCAAAACTCACAAAGTGTCTCAGGTAAATACATAACTTACATGTACAAGAAATAAAGTGGTACAACACTAGAAAATTAAACAAAATTAATATTTTAAAAACTCAGTTGGTTTCACTAATGTCCTTTACAGAAGGAAAGCTGCCGTCCTTACCTGGTCTGGCCTACATATGACTCCAGACCCACAGCAATGTGATTGATTCCGAACTGCCCTCTGAAATAGCCACACCAACCACCCAGTTGTAGGTGGCACACTACCCGGGCAATACTCACATTCCAAGAATAGAGTAACAAAAACAAATCTTTCCTCAGCATCAGTTCTGTTTTGACTCAGCCAGCAGCTGGGGCAGTTCACAAGCAACTAAGTCAGCACCGATCACCGAAGACAAAACCATTCACTTGGTCAGCAGAGTTCTACAGCACAGAGACAGGCCCTTCGGCCCAACTCATCCATGTTGACCAGGTTTCCCAAACTGAACTAGTCCCACTTGCTGGCATTTGGCCCATATCCTTCTAAACGTTTCCAATTCACATACCTGTCCAAATGCCTTTTAAATGTCGTAATTGTACCTGCCTCTACCACTTCCTCTGGCAGCCTATTCCATACATGCACCAGCCTCTGTGAGAAAAAGTTGCCCCTAAGGTCCCTTTCCCCTCTCACCTTAAAAGAAGCCCATACACCACCTTCAGCATCCACTCCCTCCACCACTAACGCTCAGTCGTAGCAGTGTGTACTTTGTACAAGATGCACTGCAGAAATTCACAGGAGATCCTTAGACAGCTCCTTCCAAACCCATGACAACATCCATCCAGGAGGACAAGGGCAGCAGATACTTGGGAGCAGCACCCCCTGAAAGTTCCCCTCACCATCCTGACTTGGAAATATATCGCTGTTCCTTCAGTGTCACTGGATCAAAATCCTGGAATTCCCTCCCTAAGGGCATTGTGGGTTCATGTAAACCCCAGGCCTTCAGTGGTTCAAAGAGGCACTTTCTCCAGGGGCAAACAGAAATGGAAATACATGGTGGCCCAACCAGATACACCCAAATTCAGTGAATAAATAATTTTAAAGAGACACCTCCCCACATGGTCACATGTAAAACACTCTGACCCTGCAACATACCTCTCAATCAGGTGACTGCTTCCAGTTAAAGGCTTTTCACTCACGGTTAGCCCAGCAGAGCCAGCATTGGTGTCTATGAGGAATCAGGAGATGGTATTGTTTAAAAAAAAAGTTGTTTTTCTTCAATTAGACAACACTGAGCCTGTGGCAGAACCCTGCTCTTAACAGTCCAATATGGTTGGATCCATTGTTAATTTTAATTCCGAGATAGATAAATTTTTGTCAAGTAAAGTTATTATAGAATACAGGCCAAAGTTAAATATATGGCATTAGGCCGCAGGTCAGCCATTGAATGGTGGAACAGGCTCGAGGGGCTGAATGGCCTCCTCCTGTTTCTTTGTAACTTGGTGACTTGATCATCAAGCCCAATGCACAATAGTCTGCTGTCCTAATGGTTCCTCCGGGAAGAACCATCATCCTACAGGGTTCCACCACAGTCACAGGCCCCATCCCGTGTTCACCTAAGTTATCTGGCAACACGTAATGTAGATGGGTAAGCATCCCAAGTCCAGTGGTCACCCAGCAACATCACCACACCCCTCTCCCCACCCCCACTCCCCCAACACAGTTACCCACTGGACAAACCCTTCCCCTCACACAGCAACAAGTTTCATCAGAATCAGTTGCCTTCAGCCAATGACCAAGCACCTCCTACCAGGCTCTTGCTCCTCACTGCAGGTGTCCACATTGATCTCCTCAGATCCATGAGCACTCCCACCCGTCTTGTTGGCACTCTCCTCGGGATCGCTCCCTTGGCTTCCGGGCAATTCGAGCAGTCCCAGACCAGCTTGGGACAAATCTGAAAAAAAAAATAAAGCAAAACACATCCCCAAGGTCTTCATGGATGAGGGAGGCCATTCAAAACAGTCTACGCTGTCTCACCTAAAAAGGATGTAAAATTCCCTCATAGGATTCATTTTAATCACTGACTTTGGGATATGGCTGGGCCGGGATTTCATGCCCATCTCTAATCACCTGGAGAACGTGGCACTGAGCTGCCTCCTTAAACAGCCACACACCATTTTGTCTACCAACACCCACAGAATGCGGGCAGGGAGGGGAGCTCCAGGATCCTGATCCAGTGACACTGAAGAAACAGCGATATATTTCCAAGTCAGGATGGTGAGGGGCTTGGAGGAGAACTTGCAGGAGGTGGGGTTCCCATGTGTCTGCTGCCCTTGTCCTTCTCAATCAATACTTTCCAAACATTTACTATCATTGTGACCTCTCCCCCCACCAATGCTGGTGAGACCCCAGGCCAGTGAGATCAGGTGGACAGGTGTAATCAGAGGAGGAAGATTTTAAAAAAGACATGAAGGGCAACTTTCTTTAAAAGACATGGCGAGCGATTCGTGTGTGGAATGAACCTCCAGAGGAAGTGGTGGATGCGGGTACAGTTACAATGTTTAAACAATATTCAGATAAGTATGTGAATAGGAAAGGTTTGGTGGGATAAGGGCCAGGAGCAGGCAGCTGGAACTTGTTTAGGTTGGGGTTATGTTCAGCATGGGACTGGTTGGGCCAAAGGGTCTGTTTCTGTGCTGTATGACTGTATGTAAGACACTGACGCTTCACCCCATGGGTCCTTCCCCACACTCCAGTCTGGTCAACAACCCATTTCACTGTAAGGGGAGAGGAGAGGACAGACCCCAGCACTCTGTACCCAAGTTGCATGGCGGCTGAGATAAATGATACTTTATCTTCTGTCTGGCGAAAGCTGCAAACAGAAAGCGCTCCCCTCTCAAGAGGCGTAAGATTCACACACACACCGCCCCGAGGGGATCAAGGACCCCTCCACACCCCCCAAATAAAACCAAACAGGAAACAGCAGCCATGGCCAACAACAGATCAGAGATCAGTCCAGCTCCCTCAGGAACAGGCCGAAGCCTACCTTCAGCAGGGACCGAGTTGGTTGTGGAATCCGCAACACGAGCGTCTTCAGCTTCTCCCTCCTGTGGGCTTGGCCGGACACAGACAGGGCTGCCAGGAGAAGAGGAAATAAATCCTTCACATCACCGCTTTCATTCGGAGCTCTTCAAGCACTTTTCCTGGGGGACAGGGACAGGGGGGCGCAGTGTTGGATGCAGGGTAAACACGCCCCACTTTGTCAGACAGTCCTACATCACTTCTGACACAACTAAACCCCTCAGCAACTTCCTTGTCCCACCAACTGCTCAGGACCACCATCCATCAATCTCAAGGCTTTTTTTTTAAATTATTTGTTCTTTCACAGGATGCGGGCATCACTGGCCGGGGCACCATTTATTGCCCATCTCTAACTGCCCCCCGAAAGTGGTAGTGAGCTGCCTACTCGGACCACGGCTGTCCCTGGGGAGTAGGGAGCGATAGTAATTCCAGGACTTTGACCCAGCGACGCTGAAGGACTGGCGATAGATTTCCAAGTCAGGATGGAGAGAGGTTCGGAGGGGAGCCTGCAGGTGATGATATCCCCATGAGCCTGTGCCACCAGGAGGCAGTAGTTGGAGAGGGGAAAACAGGGCTGGCGAGAGCAGGGATTAAGGCCATCTCAGTAACACAAGAAGTACTGCGCAATCAGGTCCTGGCGAGTCTTCACTGAGGTACAAATTATTTCTTACATTTACGTAGAACCTTTTGCAACCTCAGGAAGTCCCAAACAAAAACAGGAAGTGCTGGAGAAACTCAGCAGGTCTGGCAGCATCTGTGGAGAGAGAGAGATAAAGTTAATGTTTCAAATTTGGTTCTTCAGAACTGGACTTGAAATGTTTTCTCCGTCTCTGTCTCTGCATAGATGCTGCCAGACCTGTTGAGTTTCCCCCAGTTTTTTCCAGTTTTTGTTTCAGATTTCCAGCATCCACAGTTCTTTGTTTTTTCTCAGGATGTCCCGAGCTGCTCTGTAGCTAATAAAGTCCTGTCCAAGTCTAGACACTGTTGTAATGTCAGAAAAACGGCAGCTAAACTGTGCACAGCAAGCTCCCACTGACAGGAACCCTGCCACGATCGGATCTCCATGATGTTGTTTCAGATATAAACTCTGACCAGGACACCAGGGGAGAATCACCCTGCTGTTTGTCTTTGAAACACTGTCATGGGATCTTACTATAGATAGGATGTTAGGCTAACATCACGGCTGAAAGATTGCACCTCAAACACCGCTGCACTTCCTCAGTGCTACATAATTGCTGAACAATTGAGGGCAAGAGTCGACACAGGGGTGAGTCTTTGCTCCCCACTAAGCCCCAGCTGATACCTTCAGGCAACTTGCTGACAGCTCAGTGAGGGCAAAGAGACACAGGGCAGTGGCTCCCCTCTCTCCCTCAGTAAGATACACTTCACCAAGCAGTGACCCCACCCCCACCCCCCACGCCCCCCACCCCCCACACGCACACACACACACACACAATGTTAAAGCCACTCACTGGCTTTGCCCCTTTGGCCGCGACAGACCCCCCATCGAAGGAATGGACGGTTCACCAGACTTCTGACATGCCACTGTTTCCATAGCGCCCAGAACTGAGAGGAAAAAGAAACAGAAATGTAGTGAATGTGGGCTAAGGGGCAGAGTTGAAAGGTTAATCAACGGTGGCGAGAGGCTCTGGTGCAATGTTTCAGCTCTGAAGAGTGGAACATTGTCATTGAGTCGTACAACACAGAAACAGGCCCTTCAGCCTAGCCAGTCCATGCCAAACATAATCCTAAACTAGTCCAACCTGCCTGTTCTTGGCCCATATCCCTCCAAACATTTCTTATTCACGTACTTATCCAAATGTCTTTTAAATGTTGTAATGTACCTGCATCCACCACTTCCTCTCTCTGGCTGTTCATTCCACACACAAACCACTCTGTGTAAAAACAAAGATAAGCTGCCCCTCATGTCCTTTTCAAATCTTTCTTTTCTGACCTTAAAATATGACCTCTAGTTTTGGACCTCCACCCCCCCAACCCTGAGGGAACAAACCTTTATTATTCACCCTATCCATACCCCTCATGGTTGTATAAACTTCTATAAAGGTCACCCTTCAGCCTCCAATGCCCTAAGAACATAGAACAGTACAGCACTGTACAGGCCCTATGTTCTTCGGCCCACGATGTTGTGCCGACCTATTATCCTACTAAGATCATTCTACCCTGCATACCCTAAATTTTACTATCCTCCATGTCCCTATCCAAGAGTCGCTTAGAAGTCTCTAAAGTATCTGACTCCACTACCACTGCTGGCAGCGCATTCCACACGTCCCCCACGAAAAAGCTCCCATTGCCCCATACTATCTCAGCCCTCAGAAAGGCAGCTTCATCTCTGCTTCAGTATTTGGCAGAGTGACTACTGTGATCGGACGTGCTGACGTAGCTTTCATCCTTAACAACTGGGACTGGATTTGATTGGCCAACACAGCACATACCCCCTTCCACCATCTGCACCAAATGGTTATATGATAGAAGTAGAGTCATAGAGATACACAGCATGGAAACAGACCCTATGGTTCAATTTGTCCATGCTGACCAGAAATTCTATATTAACCTAGTCCCATTTGCCAGCATTTGGCCAGTATCCTTCTGAGCCTTTCTTATTCATGTACCCATCCAGATGCCTTTTAAATGTTGTAATTGTACCAGCCTCCACCACTTCCTCTGGCAGCTCATTCCATGCACGCACCACCCTCTGCGTGAAAATGTTGCTCATTAGGTCCCTTTTAAATCTTTCCCCTCTCACCTTAAACCTATGCCCCTCTAGTTTTGGATTCCCCAACCCTGGGGAAAAGACCTTGACTATTCACCCTATCCATGCCCCTCATGATTTTATAGAGGTTTATAAAAGGGTGACTAGTCAAGGATTTGCCAGGTTAAAAAGGTATTTGGAGGAAAAGAGCAGGCACAGGCCACACAACAAGTCTGGTCCCACCATCAGCCCTGTTACACTGCAACCCATCCTCTTTAATTTCCCTTTATTCATTCATTGGATGTAGGTGTTGCTGTGCTGTTGCCAGTAGCTAGTTGCCCTGGAGCAGAACGGCTCGCAAGGGCAATTAAAAGTCACCCACGCTGCTGTGGGTCTGTAGGCCAGACCAGGTAAGCAAGGCAGATTTCTCTCCCTGAAGGACGTTAGTGAAGCAAATGGGGTTTTTACAACAACCCATGATACTTTCACAGTCACCAACACAGAGGCTAGTTTTCAATCCCAGTGTCCAGTAATGTTCTAATCAGCCCATTCACAGCTGTTATTACACATCTCTGGAGCACACTGGACTTGAACCCAGGCCTCCCGGATCAGAGATAGGGGCACTATCACTGCCACAAGAGACCTCAGTGCAGTGGATACTGATTGAGGATCAAATTCCACCAGCTGCTGCAGTAGGATTTGAACTCACACCCCCCAGACCATCAGCCCTGGATGACTAGCCCAGTGGGGAAAATCAGGTACTGATTTTGAAGAGCTGACATTACAGCCATGGGGAGATCGTTCTGCCCCTCAAGCCCATTCTTTGCTGACCTCTGTCCTAACTGTCCACCTTGCTCCTATAACCTTTAACTCAAATAAAAAGCTAACCATCTCAGCTTTGACATTTTCAATTGACCTCACCCACCCCCACCTCCAGTCTCAGCAGCTTGTTGGAGGGAGGGGAGGACGGGGTGCGAGCGCAAGTGGCGCAGGCTACAGGTTTCACACCATGTCACCCCCACCTACCCCAGCCATCACCGCTGAAGGGCCTGGCCTGTGTGTCTGCTGCTTTCTCATCCCGGATCTGACCCCACCTCCCCCTTCCCGCACGAGAAAGATTCCCTCTCCATCTCATCAATTGGTCTTAAAAAGCCCAATTAGATCACCTTTTAACCTCCTTTGTTTCAAGGATTACAAACCCACGCAACCTGTCCTAATTATTTAACCCCATAAGCACCAGTCCAAAGCCCATTCACCCCTTCAAGGTAAGGTCCCTACGACTGAGCGCACAGCCCTCAAGTTAAAGGCTAATGTTCCAATCAACTTTCTAAATTACCTGTGCATCTCTCCAATTGTTTTTAGTGATTTTTCTCCCATAAACACAGCCTCCTGACTGCTGTTCCTTCACACTGTGAATAGCACACTTTATCTGACGTTCTCCAGTCAAATCTGCCTACTCCCTCAATCTACTACCAAAACCGCACCCCCCCCCCCCCCCCCCCCCCCCCCCCCCCTACCCCCACGGCAAAGCAAAGACAACGTCGCCTCACTTGCGCCACAAGAATGCCGAGTGTTTTTCTTTCCCAGACCTGCATTTATATAGCGCCTTTCTCAACAAATGACACACTTTCTGATGTGCAGCCACAGTTGTCCAAAGCAGCAAATTTGCTCACAGCTAGCTTCCACAAACTGCAAGGTGACAATGACTGGGTATTCTGTACGAGTGATGTTGGTCGAGGGATAAATACTGACGAGGGAGAACAGCCCTGCTCTTCAAAGGAATAGTGTCGTGGGATCTTTTACATCTAGCTTTTGGGGCAGCAGTGGCCTCATTTCAACATCTCGTCTAAAAAGGCTTCACCCCCAGCAGTGCTGCAGTCTGTTGGTACTGCTTAGCACCAACTTTGCTGGTTGTGGTTGCGCGTCTGGATTGGGATTTGAACCCTTGACTGAAGGCTGGGAGGGATACTTACTCAGCACCCCGACAAATGCACGGTCACAAATCAGGCCCCGGCAAGGCTACTGGTGGCATTGGGACTTCAGTCCCACCATCCCTTACCTTTGTGGTGCATCTCCTTCTGGGTAGCAGGCTCCTTGTCACCTCCTGCTGAAGTCTTGGCTGCCTGTGGGCCAGCAATCAGCTCCTGCAACATCCAACACACAGGGCCACCTTACAGCCTGAGCCGTCATACAAACCACATCACATCTAATACAGTCATACAGCTGGAAACAGACCCTTCGGTCCAACCTGTCCATACCAACCATAACCGCAAACTAAAAACTCGTCCCACCTGCCTGCGCTTGGCCCACATCCCTCCAAAACATTTCCTATTCATGTACTTATACAAATGTCTAAATGTCACAACTGTATCCTATCCACCGCTTCCTCTGGAAGTTCTTTCCATACTGAAACATCTCTGTAAAAATAGTTGCCCTTCATGCCCTTTTTAAATCTTTCTCTTCTCACCTTAAAAACATGCCCCCTAGATGCTTTCTCTTTCCAAAAAAATATAGTCAGACAGTGAAAAGATATCAAAACTTCTATTTAAAACAAGACTCCTTGGAAATTGGGTGACTTGTGATACTTGCTGCCCTTGGCTGCCTGAACACATTGCAGGATGGGCACCTGACTGTTTCACTGCTACGATTTATGGCTGTTTGGTTGGGGGAGTCTCCACAGGCTTGGAGTTTCTGTTCTGGCGTTAGCTGGAGAACACCTGCTAAGAACATGCTGCCCAGCTCTCGTCTCCTGTTTCTGAAGCCCTTGTGTGATGAATTCAGGATGAAACCCAAGTGTTGTTCTGGAAGAGTTACTGTAAAAACTTCTCACTCTTGCATTTCCTGAGCAAGCTGCGTCTGCCAATACACCAGACAACTATGCACGGTTAGTGACTTGACCACATTCATAAGACAACAAGACCGACAGACTTTAGAACATTTTATGCTTTTAAACTGAAAGTAAAGCTTCCTGTACACTGTCCCCATCAAACACTCCCAGGATAGCAACAGTACGGGGATAGATTAAGGATAAAGCTCCCTCTACACCATCCATATCAAAAGACTCCTAGGACTGAGACAGCACAGGGTGAGATACAGAGTAAAGCTTCCTCTACTCTTAAACTGGAAGTAAATGGAAGGCAAGGTTCCTTTGAATTCTTTTAAACTGAAATTAAAGCTCCCTCTGCACTGTCTCCCATCAAACACTCCCAGGACAGGGACAGCACGGGGTTGGATACAAAGTAAGGCTCCCTCTACACTGCCTCCATCAAACACTCCCAGGACATGGACAGCACAGGGTTAGATACAGAGTAAGGAAATTTGATGTTTTACCATTTTGCCCCCGAGAATACACACCCTGGGCCAGAACCTGTTTTTCACTGATCCTGCAGCTTTGTTGAATAGTCTGGGTGTACTCACCAGCACGGGGCTCCGTGTGCGGGTCTGCAGGTTCGACAGGCACCTGGCTTGCAGATTCCGGTAGCTCTGGTCAGGGTCATCCTCTGACAGCACGCTCTCAGCCTGCGAGTCCTCTACAATCAGGCACGGGGTGTCTTGCTGCGACAGCTCAGATTCCAACTGTGTACCGTTAGGGTCCATGTGCTGAACTAGACTGAGAAACAACAACCTGTCATAGGCAGAAATAGACATGAAACAGGAGCCCATCTGGCCCATTGTATCTGCTCGAACATTCAATACGATCATGGCTTGTCTTGGGATTCAACTCCACCGTTCTGCCCAATCCCCATTTCCCTCAATTCTGAAAGACCAAAGGCTAATCGATTCCAGCCCTGAGAATATCCTAACAATACGCAGGAGGTAGTTAGTCCATCGAGTCTGCTCCATCATGCAATGCAATCGTGGCTGATCTGATAATCCTCAGCTCCACCTTCCTGCCTCTTCCCCATAACTTTCCATTCCCTTCCTGATTAAAAGTCTGTCTCTCTCTATTTTCAGGTGCAGAGGAGGTTCACTAGACTGACTGCAGAGTTGAGGGGGTTGGCTCATGAGGAGACATGTATTGGACTGGGACAATGCTCATTGGAATTTAGAAGGGGAGGGTGGAATCTTATAGAAACATATACAGTTATGAAGGGAATAGCTAAGGGGTAGTTTCCACAGGCGGGTGAAACTAGAGCGGTGGGGGGGCATAGCCTCAAAACAAGGGGGAGCAGATTTAGGACTGAGTTGAGGAGGACCTTCTTCACCCAAAGGGTTGTGAATCTGTGGAATTCCTCGCCCAGTGAAGCAGTTGAAGCTACTTCATTGAATGTTCTTAAGGCAAAGATTTTGATTGATGAACAGTAAAGGAATTAAGGGTTACAGTGAGCAGGCAAGCAAGTGGAGCTGAGTCCACAGAAAGATCAGCCATGAATCTTATTGAATGGCGGAGTAGGCTCGACAGGCCAGATGGCCTACTCCTGCTTCAATATGATATGTTCTTATATCGGCCTTTACAGTGCGAGATGTTTACACGGGCAGTTACAATGGAAGATAAGGGCCAAGGAATTTATAAACAAGAAAAGGTGACACACCTGTGTGACAAAAATGTCAGCAGGAAGCAGACCTTTACAAGCAGGAAGCAGAAGCTGCTTAATGTAATATGAATATTATGTAATACACACTGTGAGGCACTAACTACCTCCAAACACCAAGGACAGACACATGCATGTGCAAACTTATTGAAATGTAGGTCTCGAAAATCAGCCGATTATGTTTAACCACATTCTGAATCCAATAGCATTATTCTATTATTACCGACTTACAATTATATAGCGCCTTTCACAACTCAAGGACATCCCTTGTATCTCAGAGTTACTTTTAAAATGTGGCAGCCAATTTGCTCACAGCATGCTCCCCCATAAAACAGCATTCACAAAGCACCCGGATGAATACATGCATAGGAAGGGAATAGAATATGGATCCTGTAAGTGAAGACAGTTTTAGTCTGGAAGGGCAAAATGTGTCAGCGCAGGCTTGGAGGGCTGAAGGGTGTGTTTGTGTGCTGTATTGCTCTTTCTACAATGGGATAATTACCAGGTTTTTTTTTTGGGGGGTGTTGGTTGGACGGATAAATATTGGGCAGGACACGGCGGGGGGGGGGGGGGTAACAGCCCTCCCCTTTGGGGCCGCGAATCTTTCACCCAAGAGAGGAGACAGTCGTCTGATTAACGACTCCTCTGAAAGTCAGCATCTTCAGCAGTGCAGCACTCCCTCAGGACTGTAGTGGGAGTAGCAATCTATATTTTTTTTCTATGATTTTAATGTTTTCGAGTCGGGGGGAGGAGCAGGATCTTGAGTTAACACCTCATCTGCAGATTTGAGTAGAAGATGGTATGATTCCTACAATAAACACACAGGTGTGTGTTTGACCTTTATACACAATTACTGGACATTCTGGTTAAATGTCAGTAAAGCCAAAGCCTTGACCCTGTATCGGTTCTCATTCGTGCTCAGACTGTTTCTCAGTCTACTAGGAGCGGAAATAAGCCAGACGTTGAAGCCTACTCCACCATTCAACAGGATATCACAACTAATTATAAGTTGTCGTCCCTGACCAGGAATTGAACTTGGGCCACATGCTGAAAGAGCCACATCTGAACCACACCACCACTGCCAGCGAAGGTGATGTGCAGTAATTGAATGCAATTAATGTGCAATTTTCAAAAGCCCATCAACTCCTAATCACCTGAAGTTAAAGAAGTGTAAGAGGTCCCATAGCCAGTTAGAAGAGGGATTGCAGCTCCTATATCTGCACTGCAACAGTACGGAGGATCTGGCAGGTTTAACCAGATTGCATCAGAATCTTTAACTGTGTTTGTAAGGACAGTGATTAAACTGGCCCTTACAGTCAGTTAGATTGTATGGAGTTTGCACATTCTCCCCGTGTCTGTGAGAGTTTCCTCCCACAGTCCAAAGATGTGCAAGTTAGGTGGATTGGCTATGCTAAATTGCCCATAGTGTTCAGAGATGTACAGGCTCAGTGGGTTAGCCATGGGAAATGTGGGCATTACAAGAATAGGAGTGGGTACGGACGGGATGCCCTTGAGAGGGTCGGTGCAGACATGATGGGCCAAATGGCCTCTTTCCACACAGTTGGAATTCTATGAAATTTGAGCCAAAAAAGTAAGATAACCCTGTAACTTTATGAATCTGTGGTGCAACCACACTCAGGAAGCTGAGTACAATTCTGATCCCCACAGTGCAGGAAGTTCATGGCAGGTACTAAAAGGGTCGGAGTATGAGAAACCACTCGAGGGGCTGGAGAGATTGTATTTAAAGGAGCAATGTTGTAAACTGGGCATGTCCTCTCTGGAAAGCAGGGAGCTGCAAAGCGACATTATTGCTGTTTTTAGGATTCCAGATAGCGCAGACCGTGACGTGTTATTTCCTCTCCTCCAGATCAGCAGATCACAAGGACACAGGCTGCACTTGAAGGAGGGTAAGCTGAAACTAATTGGAAAATAAAACATTATTTCAGTCCGAGAGTGATAAATCTATAGGCCAGGTTCCCCTTCGGGGGCAAGTGAGGAAGCGAGGGTGACTGAGCAGTCATTAAAGTGTGCTTTAGGTAGTGTTTTTTTTTTAAAAACAGAAAATAATGTATTGAGATCCAATGCATGGGTCATTTGAACCATAGCAAATAAATTTATAAAGCACAGAAACAGATCTTTCCATTTAACCAGTCCACGCTGACCATAATTCCAAGCTAAACTAGTCCCATATGCTGCTCCTGGCCCATATTCTTCCAAACTTTTCCTATTCACGTACTTATCCAAATGTCTTTTAAAACATTGCAACTGTACCCACATCCACCACTTCCTCTGGGAAGTTCATTCCACACACGAACCACTCTCGGTGTAAAAAAAATGTTGCCCCTCATGTCTTTTTAAATTTTTCTCCTCTTGCCTTAAAAACCCCTAGACTTGAAATCCCCCACCTTAGGGAAAAGACACCTGCCATTCACCTTATCTATACCTCTGATGGCGTTATAAACCTTTATAAAGGTCACCCCTCAACCTCCTACACTCCGGCGAGAAAGGTCCCAACATATCCCTATAACTCAAACCTTCCAATCCCAGCAACATCCGGGGTAAATCTTTTCTGAACCCTCTCTAGTTTAATAATATCCTTCCTATAATACATGGGAATAGAATGTGTTCAGGGCCGAGTGAGTGGCCTTGGGCCAATGGTTGCCAAATTTATTTACCAGTAGGGGTTTTCCCTCGCTTGCATCAGAGTCTGTTATAGTCTCATTGGTAGAGCTTGATGCTTGGTAATGGTGTTTTTGACCAATGCCAATGTATCATGCAATTATCAAGAATGGTACATTAAAAAAAAAAGACCAGATCATGCTTGTTTACACCCAATAATTTCAGGCCTGCTTTACAAATTTTGAATTAATCTACACATCTCCCCTCTGCGTCAGCAATTGACCTGTTCTTTGTCTCTTCAAAATCCCTTTGCTGTTTCTTTTCAATGGTTCAACAAAATTGTTGATTGTTAGTGGCTCACATGATTTCCAAGTTGGCAGTGTGCCAAAAAGATAGTCGAGGCACAATATCACATGTAAGTAAAATGATAGGGTGTCACAGCGCAGAAACAGACCCTTCGGTCAGCTCCATTCTACATCTTTCCCCTCCCACCTTAAACATATGCCCTCTAGTTTTGGACTCCCCTCCCTTAGGGAAAAAGACACTGGCTATTCGCCTTATCCGTGTCTCTCGTGATTTTATAAATCTCTAAGGTCACCCCTCAACCTCCTACACTCCAGGGAAAAATATCCCTCCTTTTCCAGCCTCTCTTTATAACTCAGACCCTCCAGTCCCAGTAACATCCTTGTAAAACTTTTCTGTACCCTTTCCAATTTAATAATATCCTTTCCATAGCAGGGCAACCGGAACTGTATACAGTACTCCAAAAGTGGCCTCACTATTGTATTGTACAACCACAACATGATGATCCAACTCCTGTACTTAATGCTCTGACCAATGAAGGCATATAAATGTGGGAGGGCAGCACAGTGAGGATTTGCTGTTCCAAGATTTGGAGACATTTTATCACATCGGAAACTGGCGTTCATTCTTGGCCTAAGGTCCATTCAAAGACAATCAACAAACCATCGACTTCCCTCCAGGGTCAGTAAAAGTCTCTAGTGAAGATGTTTGGAACAATCCCAACCCAATTGATGGGAAATGAGTGACATTACCTACTAGGAATGATTTTCCAATTCCTCCTCTGTGTATTAACTGAGCTGATAGTGCTTGTTTCTGAATATACAAAATATTGTAAACATCTAGCTGGAGAAAGGAGAGAAGGAGAGCTCTTTAAAAAACACTGGAGGTTTTGAGTTATAAGGAGAAGCTGATTAGACAGGGGCTTTTTTCCCCCTAGAATGTAGGAGGCTAACAAATCTTCCTGGCTCCCAAACTTCCATCACTGGGAAAGATACAAAGTCAAAGGCCAAAAATACAAAATCATTAAAAGGTAAACCAGCTGGACAAACTGTTACCATGTCTAATATTCAAACAAGTACTAACACAAACACGCTGTACAATGTTCCTGTGTCAGTCCATATCACAGAGCTGCTGGACTTGCTTGTAACTGTCAATATTGTACCCCTGTGCACTTCTGCAATATTGACCATAACACACAGATGCCATAATCCCATGTCAGTCAATATCTTGCATTAGTGAATATCACACAAAACTATCATAATCCAGTCAATATCTCTCACACACGCCATATTCACATATGAGTGAAAACCATGCATCCTGTCAAATTCCCATGTTACAACCAATATCCCACACTTGCCAGTCTCTTATCACATTTATTACATAGCTGTTACAGGCCATACCATACCCCTGTCAGAAACATCTTGCCTGCATGTGCCACAGGCCATATCACATCTGTGAAACTGTCGACGTCACATTCCCAATGGACTGTATTGCAGCCAGATCTCATGTTGGAGTTACTGTGAGGCGAGTGATACACTCGAGAATCACACATTCCCTCCTCCATCAGCCTACACTACCCTCCACATTGCACAGCTGGTAAATGGCTGTCTACAGTCAATAGCATAGCCACACTCTCTCTATACAGTCCGTGCCGCCTCGCTGGCCCCTTATTCCCATAGTCTGTGCACACAGGCCAACCACCCACATTACAGTCCAAATGATCGAGACGATCTATGCCGCCCGCCTCCCCCCACGTTTCCCGATCGGAAAGCTGCGGCTTTTATTCTCAGGGAGCTGGTTGTTAGCCCGAGCCCCGGGAACAAGGTGGGGGAAATGTTCCCCGGCTCCGGGTGCTCTCTACCTGCGCTCCCGGGTCCCAGGGCCGGCCGCTGCGCCGCTCTCTGTGGGATTCCCAAACTGTTACTGTATCCAATCCGCAGCTTCCCGCCCTCCCTATTGGATAGCCGGCCGGATGTGCGTCACTGATAGGCACACACTGGCCAATCACCAGCAGGAGATCCCGGTTCTAGCACAGACTGGTGATCAGGTCCACACCCCCTTCCCCTTATTGCCCCCTCTTACCCCTCAAACCCCTTTCATCCTCTATTGTCCCCTCAAACTCTAACTGCCTACTCAACGTCTCACTTCCCACATTTCAATCCCCATTGCCTTCCTCACTCCCATTCCCCTCTCATCTCTCTATTCCCTACTTATGCCCTGCCCCTATTGCTGTCCTCACCTTCCATTCCCTTCATCCCCTATCCTCCCAGTACCCACTCACGCCCCACCACACCCTCTCCCTCAACCCCCATCCATTGCCCTCCTCTCACACACACCCCCACCCCCATTTCCACTCCCCTTCCCTCCTGCACAATCTCAACCATCTTCACTGGTCATCCTTCCAGATGCCATTCCTTTCCCACTCCCTCCATATTCCCACTCACCTCGTCCCTATTCCCCCCCTCACCCCCCTGTTGCCCCCCCATTTCCCTCCTCAACAACCCCCCACCCATTCCCCCAACCCCTCACCCCATTCCCTTACAAATTTCCACCCACTAAAGCCCATCCCCTACTCCCCACTCAACTCTCCAACCCCCATTCCCCATCACTCCCCCCTGCAATTCCCCCCCCCATCCCTCAATCCCTGCCAACTTTCCCCTTTCCTATTCCCCATTTACCCCCTTTCCTATTCCCTTCCCCACCTTTCACCTACCTTCTTTCCCTTCTTCATCTTCTCCATTCCCCCTCTCTCTCTCCTCCTCCTGCCAATCTTCCCTTCTTTCCCCCTTCACTGCCCCTTATTCTTTCTTCTTCTCTTCCTATCTTCCCCCTTATCCTCTTCCATCCTATATTCACCCTCTCCTCCTCCTCCATTCCTTTCTATTCTTCTTTCTCCCTGGCTTTTCGTTTCCCCTCTCCCATATCCCACACTCCCAGTGTGCCTCGCTGCAGTTATTTACCAGTGTGGGGGATAGGAGGGGTAACAGCTGGCCATTCTGTAGTTCTTTGCCCAAGTGAGTAATTTCCCCCTGTATAGACGTCACCACTTAAGTGAGGTAAAGAAACCACAAATATTTGACACAGCGCTTTTGCCAGAGAGAGGGGAAGTTGCTTTTCCTTGGCTATGAATTTCCCCCTCACCACCTTTCTCACCCCCATTCCTTTCCCCCAGAAAATGTCCCTGCAGAAAAATGTCCACCCCCATCCCTAGGCCAAGCTGTTTGAAATGCCATAGTAAAACAGTGGAACTATCAGAATGAACATATCCTTACTCCCTAATGCGGGTAAAAATAGAAAGAACTTTCCATCAACTAAACTCATTGCTAACATTAACAATAAGTTGCATTTACATAACACCCTCAACATAGTAAAACACCAAGGGTGCTTCACAGGAATATTATCAAACTAAATTTGACTCCAGGCTGCAGGTGAACTATTAGAACAGTGATCAAAAGCTTAGGCAGAGAGGTTGGTTTTAAGAAGCAACTTAAAGGAGAAAAGAAAGAGGGGCAGAGAGTTTTAGTTGCAGCTGTAGGCATGGCTACAGACAGTGTAGTCATTAGAGGCAGCAATGGGGAAAGTAGTTGTCTCAAGGCTTGAGACACAATCTCCACTCCAGACTGGTGTCTGCTGACCTCTGCTGGACATATCAAGAAAGGACAGGAGTAAAGACTGAAAGATCTCCAGATGCTGTAAATCAGTAACAAAAACAGAAGTTGCTGGAAAAGCTCAGCAGGTCTGGCAGCATCTGTGAAGAAAAATTAGAGTTAACATTTCAGGTCCAGTGACCCCTCCTAAGAACTGATGGTAGCTAGGAAAATGTCAGTTTATATTGGAGAAGATAGGGTGAGGGGAGGGCGGTAAGGAGTAAATGACAGGTGGGAATAGAGCCCAAAGAGACAGAACAGCAGTTAGACAAAGGAGTTCATAACGATTTGGTTAGGAGGGTGAATAGCTGTTAATGGAGACTGTTAGTGACTAACAATAGGTAGTCAGTAATGGCAGGAATAGACTTAGTTATGAATCCTGCTGCAGTCAAATAGTCACAAAGTCATACAGCATGGAAACATCACCACCCTGTGTGTGAAAAGGCTGCCCCTCATGTCCTTTTTAAATATCTCCCCCTTACCTTACACCTTTGCCCTCTAGTTTTGGACTCCCCTACAAACACAATCAAAACACAAACTGGATTCATCTGGGAAATATGAGTCAACACTCTTCAGATCAAAGCCTCAATTCTATCGTATTTGTGACAAACAAATTCAAGTTGGACGGGGTGTGGCTTTGGTTGGGTCAAGGGGGTGCTTTGGTGGGTCGGAGGATTGGTTAGGGAGGTAAAGCGGATGCCAGATTTTCTGAAGAAGGGTCTAGGCCCGAAACGTCAGCCTTCCTGCTCCTCTGATGCTGCTTGGCCTGCTGTGTTCATCCAGCCCTACACCTTGTTATTCCAGATTTAAATCCATCCCATTCCTTTCAGATGGAGTTGCCTTGATTGATGGAAACTGGATATTCATTTCAAATCTGTAAGCACTGATTAATGAGTGGGACAACCCTACTATATACTCAGTGTCCCAACACTGGTACATACCCAGGTCAGAATGTGACAAACATTGCAAATGGTGAATCATGTTACACTTCCAGGTCAAGCATTAACAGATAAATGTTATGCAAATGAAACAAATTGAAAGACAAGCAGGGTGGTAATGACACCAGTAATATAGCAGCCCAAGCTAAGGTTCTGGGGACAAGGCTTCAAATATCGCCACAGCAGCTGCTGTACTTTAAACACAATCAAATCTGGAATTGAAAACTAGTCTTGGTGATGGTGACCATGTTAATTATCATCGATTGCCAGAAAAACCTATCTGGTTCCCTAACACTCTTTAAGGGAGGAAATCTGCCATCCTTACCTGGTCTGGCCTACATGTGACTCCAGACCCACAGCAATGCCCTCTGAAATGGCCAAGGAGACCACTCAGGTCAAGGCAGTTAGGGATAGGCAACAAATATTTGGCTTCCTAGTGAGCCTTGTTTGAGAGACAGCACAGCACTTGTGCACTGAGTCTAAGTCAAGATTGCAGTTCTGGAGTGAGACTTGAACCCACAACAGTCTGGACTCAAAGACAAGAATTTTACCCACCAAACCATGTCCAACACTTAATTCTTCAAGACTATCAACTGTCTATTAAACTTTAAGAGATAAGTCCAAAATGCAGCACAAATACTTGTAAATAAAACAGCCAGATTGTGCCAGCAGTTTCAAGTAAAAGTGACAGATATTCAGCAGCATCTCTATCATCGAAATTTAAGAGAGATGAATGACCAGTTAATTTCTTTTTGTAATCATAATGCCAGGAAGGCAATGTTGCAAGATCTTTAATATTCACACAAACAAGCAGACTGTGAGTTGGCTACAACATCTTTCCTGAGAGAGGGGTAGAGGAACAAAGGGGCTTAGGAAGGGATTTCCAGAATTTAGGACTCATCTGAAGACACAGGTGCCAATCTCGGAAAACAGGGATGTGGAAGAGGCCAACTGAGATGGAAAGCAAAGATTTCAGTGAGCTGTGGGGCTAAAGGAGACTACATCGATAGAGAGGGCGTGACCTTATGAAATTAACATGGTTGCTTTGAAAGCCCTCTTTAACTCTCGCCATCATCACCCTTTTATACAAAGTATGTCTTCACAGATCTGTCCACTTTGTTCTCTTAAGCTCCCAAGACGATGCAAGATCTTAAACCTGTCCAAAAAAATACAGTGATGTTTCTCAGGGATCATCTGCCTGCTGACAGTTAATACTAACCCTGCCTTCCCACCGCCTTTCACTACAACCCACATTGTCAGCTCATGCCTTGAAGTCAATCAGTAGTCACCAATGTTCGCTGGTCAGACCTTTACTTTTATTCCTTTGTCATCCAATTTTTAACTTTATTCTCTCCTTTGACTCCAGTGGAACTCCCACATCCCCTTGTGTAATTAGTCTGCTCACAAGGAATTAGTTTTCCTCCTCCATGCTGCCATTTATTTCTACCTCAATAGCTCTTTGACATTCTATAAAAGTTAAATCTATCAGAGACTTGAAGACACGTGAAGTTCTTTTGACACCTCTCTTACCCCTGAGAGAAAAGGCTTGTCATCACCTCAGCAATCCATTCTCACTTCCAGTCTACAGTCTCCTGTCTCTTTAATTCACATATAAAACCCTCACAAGTGTTCCGCTTGTTCCCTGCTGTTCTGGGATTCAGAGGGGTGTGACATATTCTAAATGGTAGAGGGAGAGAGATCGATTCTGCTAGTTAGGAATTCAAAAACATTTTTGGAGTACTGTGTATAGTTCTGGTCGCCCTGCTATAGGAAGGATATCATTAAATTGGACAGGGTGCAGAAAAGATTTACAAGGATGTTACCGGGACTGGAGGATTTGAGTTATAGGGATAGGCTGGGACTTTTTTCACTGGAGCATAGGAGGTTGAGGGATGACCTTACAGACGTTTATCAAACCATGAGGGGTATAGAAAAGGTGAATAGCTAAGGTCTTTTCTGTAGGGCATGAGAGTTCAAAACTAGACAGCATAATTTTAAGGCGAGTGGAGAAAGATTTAAAAGGGACCTTTTCATAAAAGGTGATGTGTGTATGGAACAAACTGCCAGAGGAATTGGTTTAGGCGTGTACAATTGCAACATCTAAAAGACATTTGGACAGGTATATGGATAGGAAAGGCTTACAGGGAATGGGCCAAAACGCAGGCTAATAGGAAGGTTCAGTTCAGGAAAACAAGGTGCAGAGCTGGATGAACACAGCAGGCCAAGCAGCATCAGAGGAGCAGGAAGGCTGACGTTTCGGGCCTAGACCCTTCTTCAGAAATCTGCTCCTCT